CAGAAGAGTGTGTGGGCGGAGTCTCTCTGCAAGAGCATTACACTCACAACCTAATCAATCAGAAATCACAGCCAATCAGAAGAGTGTGTGGGCGGAGTCTCTCTGCAAGAGCATTACACTCACAACCTAATCAATCAGAAATCACAGCCAATCAGAAGAGTGTGTGGGCGGAGTCTCTCTGCAAGAGCACTGCACTCACAACTAAATCATTCAAAAATCACAGCCAATCAGAAGAGTGTGTGGGCGGAGTCTCTCTGCAAGAGCACTGCACTCTCAACCGAATCAATCAAAAATCACAGCCAATCAGAAGAGAGTGTGGGCGGAGTCTCTCTGCAAGAGCACTGCACTCTCAACCAAATCAATCAGAAATCACAGCCAATCAGAAGAGAGTGTGGGCGGAGTCTCTCTGCAAGAGCACTGCACTCACAACCAAATCAATCAAAAATCACAGCCAATCAGAAGAGCGTGTGGGCGGAGTCTCTCTGTAAAAGCATTACACTCTCAACCAAATCAATCAGAAAGGAAAGGAAATCTGTGAATGAGTAATTGCAGGACTTTCGTTTTGTATCAGAGATTTTCAGAAGCTGTGTGAAGCATGTCTGTCTTGCGGTGAGATTTGGAGCAGGGAAATCAGGAGACAGATATAATTGGTAGGGTTGCTGGCAGCTCTCAGCCAATTTGCATTTGATTCTCCATCTCTCCTGGTGGTCTGATCCACACTCTATACTCTTAAAAGCAAGAGACTTTCTTTCACCCAGACCTCACCTGTAGAGAGAGAAAGAGATACAGATGCCCGTAGATCTCGTGGATGTGCCTCATCTGCAAACAAAGCCCAAATGACAACTCCTGCACCATTGCATCTGTCTCCTGAATAAACAGGCTCTCTCTGTCTCTAAATGATCACTGCTTTAGACATTTGCTGTTTCAATGGAAATAAAAGACGAACACGAGTGTTTGAAAACACTTTGATGTTCTCAGCTGTGAAATGATATTCTTCTGCTTCATTCTGACAATATTCATTCTTTATCAATTTAATGCATTCTTAAAAGAAAATATCTTACTGAGCCCAACCTTTTGAACAGTAATGTATATAAAACACGAGCAGTCGCACTGGATGCAACTATATGAATAATTTAGTTGGATAAAGATCCAGTATGTGGTGACAGGTGTGTGTTTTATCAGCAATAAAACAGCTGTGTTTGAATGCAGCTGTGCTATAACAAAGAGCATTTTTCCCAACCCACATGACTAATGGTTACATAAAAATAGTCAAATGAAATTTCCGAGACAGAGAAAGCGATTGCTCTTGAAACCTTCTGAATCTGGAATAACATGCACACAACATGGCCAGGGCTATCGATTCAGGCCGAGAGGAAGAGTTTCATCAGCTGACAGAAGACGAGGATCAAGAGAGAGAGAGAGCCGGTCATCTCTGGTTCTGGCCGTGGAGAGACAGATGAACAGATGTATGTTCATTCGGACAAATGGTGGTGAAGTCTGTGCTCTCGCCGCCTCTGGGCGTTTGGGATTTGAAATGTTTTCTTCTCAGTGCAATCACATGCTTAAAGAACTGGAACCAGATCCTACATGGCCCTGTCCGACTGGAAACCGTTTCTGAAAGCGTCCTGTAATAAGCACACGGCGAACTGCCAAGTGTACGAGTCTTTGATTCCGAAGTTCAGAGATATTGTGTCCCCACGTCTCTAGCTAGGATCCCACGCGAGTTCTCAAACAATTTGTCGTCTTTTACACGTTTTCTATATTCCTTGGTGGCTGTGCATTTTTGTTTGATGACAACACAAAATCTGGTTCAAAAAATAAACGGGCGTTTCTGGGAATCTGGTTTAGTCCTAAAAGGCGGGCGTACACGGTACGAATTCTGATGGTCGGAAGATCGTATGTCCAGGCAAACTACGTGTGAGTTTATCCGAAAATCGTACGGAGGCAGTGATATACGACACGATTTTTTTACGACCTGCTGAATTCCGACGAAATCGCACGAAGTTCCGCGCTAAAAACTCTCTCATAACTGCATATAAAATATTGATACAAGCCGTGATTATTTTGCTATAGGCTCGTTTTCAGCACCGAGAAACGGACGTCCGGTCACCCTTGTGTGTGTGTGAATGAGTTAAAAAACGTAGTTACGGTAGGCTACACATTAAAAAATAGGGCTGGGTATTGAGACAAATTTCACAATTTGATTCGATTTCGATTCACAAGCTTGCAATTCGATTCGATTACGATTCAATTCGATTCAATATCGATTATTTTGGATATCAGTTACAATAAATGGCAATTTTTCTCAAGGGAATCAAATCTCTTAAATCCTGTAAACCATGGTCTATGTCTAGTTGTAGCCTATAGGCTTCATTAGCCTAATATGAAGGTAATAATGAACTGTTTTGTAGCTATACAGACACTTAAATTACACTTTTATTTATTTTTATAATAAGAAGATTATATGAAATATAAACATTTAAATGGTGGCTGTCGTAAAAACTTGCCAGATTTATTCAAATATGCATTAAATATTGAAGAACACTAACGAGTGTGGACTAATGAGTTTATGTGGGGTTGTTTGAGGTAAATATGACGATACATGCATTGATTACAAGCTGTTTAATTGACGTCTTTCCACGGTTGAAACGCAGATTGAGCGAATCAATGTGACATGATACGGATTTGGATAAGTTGTACTCTATCTTTAACACACTTTCAGATGCTCATTCATGTTTATTTGGCGCTGTGACTGGTATTATTAAGCCGGAAGAGAGATCAGCGCTGCTGCTTCTCCAGAGCGATCTCACGCCAAAACGACAAAACGCTATTTATGTTTTTGAATTTCTAAAGAAAATGGACGTAATTTGAAAATTGAGACTTTGTTTCATATCAATAGTAACAAAGGACAAAGATTATTGCGATTTGTTGGATGCGCGCAGCCGCGATACAATGTCTCATTCATTCAAATAAAACAGGATGACTAATCGATTCTTCAGATTTAAGAATCGATATCGGTTTGTAAAAATGAGAATCGATTAATATCGAGAAATCGATATTTATTACCCAACCCTATTAAAAAATAGAATTTCAAGCTCTCTGAATGATTAATTAGCCGTTTAAACCACCTCATGTGAGTGTTTGCAATTAATTTTGTTGCGAGAAAGCTATAGCACCGTGAACGGGGCTTGAGTGAGCTTGAGCGCGTTGTGAGTGAGGGCGCGGGCGCGGGTGCCAGATCCTGTGTTGTCAGATCCACATAATGGAAAGGTGACGGTATCTTGACTTGTTTTTTGGATTAATGTCACAATTTAGAAAGTTATTAAAGTGGTTCGTAATATATTAATCTTATTTCCAAAACACAAGCTTTGAACTTGTTTCAGATTTTTATATGATTTCTTTGTTTTTGTTAGTTTTTGCTTGTTTTTCGTAGCAATATCTGGCAACGTTGTTCTGTCGGCATTAATAAAAAAAGCTTGGGCTGTAGACAAACTGTAATTTCCTTTTAGGAAGAAACAAACGTAATGATTATCGTGACGTGTTAGAATCTGTACGAAATGCATAACACTATCAAAAACAACAGCATAATAGCAGATGTTTCAGAATGAAATATGCCAAATACTGGCCAGTAGGAACACGGCAGATGCTGTTTAGTTAACCTTTCACAAAGTCATCCTAAAAACATTAATTGAAGCAGTGTTTCTAGTAGTCCACACCATTTTCGTCTTTCTTCTGTGGATTTCCTCAGCTCCTGATTGGTCAAGTTCAGATAGATCGACAAATCGGCTCATTCAACCGCACACACCTCACGAATGCAAGCCGACAGCTCCCGAACTTTGTAGTAGGGCTGGGGTAAACGATTATTAACTAAACGATTAGTTGGGCGATTATTTTATCCATTAGTCGACTAATTTAATGACTAATTGGACGACTAATATAAAGAATATTTTTTTCTGCTGCTCAATTAATAAAAAAACAATATCTCAAATAAATACTGGCATACTGAATCAAGATACTATAAGCTGGCTAACGTTAGTCTAATGTTATGTATTTGAACACCATCATAACTCTACAACCGCCAAAACCATGTTATTAAAATACTTTTTACAAACATTTTTTATCATAGAGAATGTTTAAATATTAATATCAGCTGAGGAGGGAAACGGAGGCGGAGTTAGTGGTGCGATCGGAGGCTGCTACTGCTGGAGATGAATCGGGAGAGGTTTGTGCACCTACTGATCAGAGCGCGTGCTGACACGGAGTAAATTATTGTTTATACTCGACACGTCCGCACGAGCGCGAATGTGCGCACGGCAAAAATGACGCGTTGGGTGCGCAAGACCAGGAAGACTCAAGACTGTGGCTGGCTGTGTACGCCTTATTTTTGTAACAGCGCGCCCGGCGCCGCGTCCGGAAACGACTTCAAGCCGAATCTGCCCGAGCTTGTACGTCTCACCACACCGGCACCCAGTTTGCGCATCTAAATTGCAATTTCTAATTGTCTTCGTCCTCTATTCTGCAATGTTTCGGTCTCCCACGTGTGTGTGGCAAGCTGTACCGCCGGGAACATGCAAAAAATAAATAAAGAAGCGTCGACGCAAAAATATGACGTCCGACTTCCTCGGAACTTGATACGAGCCGCGACATGCGAGCATAACCGATTTACACGCGATTTCCCCCGAGTGAAAAAAATCATCTGCAAGCTCGTAAAACAGCAAAAAATCGCACCGTGTACGCCCGCCTTAAGTTCAGCTCATTTATGAAAATCTTGTATTTAGGAATAGCCATAATATCTAGTGATTTAAAGGAACAATATTGAATGAATTATGACAAGCTTAGAGTAAAAAAGAAATGTCAATGTAAATAAAAAATACATAGCTCAATCCAATGACAAATGGATCAATATTTGGTGTGAGCGTTGTGTTAAACATGAATTTTCAGGCACTAATGAACGCTGCCTATCTTCACATGTTTCGTTTCCCCTCTCTCCGTTCTTCCAGGCTCGTACATGATGGTGGACACCTCTCAGCACGACTACGGAGAAAAGGCTCGCCTTCAGCTGCCCGTGATGAAGGAAAACGACACTCACTGCATTGACTTCAACTATCTGCTGTTCTGCCCGGACGGCTCCAGCTCCGGGACGCTCAACATCCTGGTGAAGGTCAACAAGGGGCCGCTGGCCAACCCCATCTGGAACATCACGTCCTGCACCGGCCGAGACTGGATGAAGGCGGAGCTCGCTGTCAGCACCTTCTGGCCCAATGAGTATCAGGTATGCAAATCACCCAGCCAATCAAAAGGTGTGGCTTGATGAGGTCATACAGACGCGAAGATGCGAAAGCCCAGATATACTCATGGTGACGTTCTTTATTGATCTACGCTCATGGGTAAAATGAAGTTTGAATATACTGGGATATACTGTTAGCGATCATACGCTGCCGAGAGCGAATATTAGATGAATATGTAAATATGTGCTGCACTTGACTATATAAGCACACAATAAAAATGCCAGCGGTGAGAAAGCATCGGATCATTGTTTTTCCCCAGCTCTGTGCTTAAAGGACAATTGCGGTATTTAACACCTTGAGTCGATTTTGTAGTTTGTTTTGAATGAAATCGAGTGGTGGACTTAGAAATTTTGACATTGGGTCCTGTCTCGACGTTTTGACTATTTTAGAATCGCCTGTGAGAGCTTTAGACTGGTTGTCTATGGGCATGCACAAACATGTCCTTAAAACAACCCTTAACGTTCATTTTCAAAACTGTGCAACTCACCGAGTGGTTGGTGGTGTTCGTTGATGTTCCCGAAACAAGTAGCGTAGCGAAATACCGTTTCTGTCGTGTTTTATTTGTCATTTTTTAAAATCGCATTGATATCTGCTGGAGGACTCAGTGCTCGTTGATATTACTGCGCTAGCTACCGGAAAAAACTGAAAGGGGTCTGTTTACATGTGGTTGTAGTCTTTTCGCTCGGTTCTCCGTCTCTCAGAAGGCTAGCGTGAGCAGAGCAACTGTGCTCCCGGACTTTTTTTTCGGTGCGCTAGACACAGTGTCCGTACAGCGTCCTGGTTGTCGCCATCAAGTGGTCGGGAGTGTGCTAACGCTTCAGACTCAAATATCGAGCGGAAGTTTATACGCGGTTGTGAGGTATCTGAATAAATAGTTCCACTATAGCAAACAACACGGATTGAACGCATACATTGCGCCGATATATTTGTTTTTAATCATCAACGAACACCACCAACCACTCGGTGAGTTGCATAGTTTTGAAAATGAACGTTAAGGGTTGTTTTAAGGACATGTTTGTGCATGCCCATAGACAGCCAGTCTAAAGCTCTCACAGGCGATTCTAAAATAGTCACCTTTCCCAGAGATCTCGCCTTGACGAGCTGTTTCGAGCTCCTGAAGCGAAGATTTAGTTGAAATGACATCACACCAGTCCATCTTTGATTTCGCTTGAAGTATATTGGGTCTTGAAAGCAAATTTCGCTCAAACTCGAAAAGAGGTGTTTTCTTGTGTTGTCGGACAGTAACTCCTGAAGTCCACTGGTGACGCGATCCTGGCGTCAAGCCCTCTACACACTAGTATGAGGAACGGCGTCACAGTGGTTTATGAGAATCTAGCGGCTGTGTTGAGCTGTTCAGTGACAGTAATGGCTCTTATTAATGTGTAAAGTCACACGGAGAGTTTCCTGCGGGGGGAAACGTCTCAATTACCCGTTTTCCACCAAAAAAAAGAACTGGTTCGGAACTGGTGCTGGTTCAAAGTTGGTTTGGAGTTGGTTCAACTTGCGAACCGCTTCAGAATCTGTTTGTTTTTCCACTGACTAGAGCGCCCAGGGAACGAGGTCGTTACGTCACTGTGTACGTCGCCATACGTCTTAGAAACGCTTGCAAATACAACATTACTTTCGGATTAACTCGTATACCAAGAAAGCTTTAAAAACAATTGAAATATGTAAGTCTTTTAATCTTTTGGTTTGATATGTAATATTTTCTGATAAGTTCTGTACCCTTGTCATTTATTTGTTGACTATATTGTGACTTTTCTTCTTTGCTTATAATGTCTTCAATAAAAAAAATACAAAAATAGAAACGCTTGCGTTAACTTCAAGCATAACAATTACAAAAGGCGGACTCCATCGTGTTTCTGCAAATGTTTCTCTTGGCTTTGCGATCCTTTATTATGGTCAGAAAAGTTGTTTAGAGCACATCTAAACCCGGCCAAGCCCCCGACGTAAGCATGACGCGGTAAAAGAACGGTTCTAGTCCAGCAAAGAGTTGGTGCCGCTTTGAAACCAGTTCTCCTGGCCGAGAACCGGTTCTTTGGCAACTGGTTCGCGCGCAGGCACCGGCTCTCAAAATGCTTTGGTGGAAAAGGGGCTTTTGGGGTCTTCACGGGACTTTTGCTTTTAAATACAATCGCTTTTTATTGTCCCAGTAGAGTAGTGTTTCACTGAATATGATCAGTCTCTTCTCTTTTCTTCTCTTTTAATCACTGTTGAAAGTGGGTGTGTATGTGTCAGTGTTTGCCTTGTGTGTGTGATCTGACGGGTTGTTCTGCTTCAGTG